TTTTAGATCTGTTTTAGCTAAATTTTTGCTTTTAGCAAAACCCTCCTTTCTAAAAATAATAAAATATCGTTATCTCTAAAGGAAAGTTTCGAGAAAATTGCGATATAGGTATAGGTATAAAATAAATTTGATATACATTTGTTCTATATTAAAGTATTAGAACTTCTAAATTCTAATATTCCTTACGCTCGAATATTAATATTTTATCACACAGAAATATGCGTGTTATAAAAGAAAATTGGACTGCAATGGTACACGGAAGTTAAAGTGCAATATACTCAAAAATATGCTTCTCATCAGAATTTGTTACGGCGTATATCGGTAGTCTGAATGCCGCGAAGAGGAAGGTTTTCGACAAGCGGGTACGAAGGAGGGAAGGTAGACCGAGACGGCCGGCTAATAAAAGAGCTCGTCCCGACATTACTGTCGCGGTAGACGCGAGTGGATACTCGTTTACCTGAGGATATCTGCGGTAGATCTTTCTCTCTCTCTCTCTCTTTTTCTCGGCAGCAGATACGATGTGGCCTTTTATTTACCACGACAATGACAAACGTAACGACAATTCACTGTTATATGTGTCCCGGCCTCCGCCGTCGCGCGTCGTCGCCACAACCATAACGCGCGACGTCGTTTTTATGAAGCGCGATAAGAATTCGAAAAGAGACCCGATAAATCGCGCAACGCAACCGAGGGAAACGCGCTGCTTCACACATGTTTGAATCACATGAGTCCTACCTGATGAAAATGGTAAAAAATAAGATAAGGATGACAGAAAGCCGTCGAATTTTTTACAACGTACGCACTTGTATTTTAACGGACTTGTGTTTTGGACGGAGAAAGATATGTTAATTTCATTAACGCTGAAATATCGGTGTATATAAGAACGTGTTTGAGAAGGAACATTGCACGCCAATTTTCTCTCTACCATCTAGATAGGTGATGAATTCAATACTGAAAAAAATATAGTCAATTTTCATAAATATTTAGTTGAATACTGCCAACTAAATTTTTATTAAATATAAAGATATATTAATTTATTTGATACAAGAAATGTAATTTGATTTAACAATCATTTTTTTTTACTGAACAAATATTTATTTACTGTAAGTAAATGTTTAGTTGGCAGTATATATTGAACTAAATATTTATTAAAATTGATTATATTTTTTTTCAGTGAAGGAAAGGGTCTAAACGGATGAATCTTGAATAGATCGCAAGTGGTTTCTAGATTTTCGTTTTTTTCTTCAAGACTGTTTAATGTAAACTTTGTAAATGATGAGTACATTTAATTAAATGTAAATATATGTGTTGTGTATTTAATTTATATTTTATAATTACGTAGAATATATTTTTACGAGAAGTATTTCTTTTTTTTTTTTTAAGATGTGATATCGTATTTTTCGACGTGCTTTTGCTCGCGCGATTTTTAATATTTAAAAACGGTGAGAAATCATATTTATGCACAGTAAATAAAAAAAAATTCATTATCGACAGATGTTCTTCATTATTATGTAAGCGCTGGCTGGCCAGCGTCTGCTTTTACTACTTAAAAATTGTGCCTGTACTTGTTTACACGTGACATTATGCGCATTTAAAGCACAATCTGTTTTACATGATAGTGATTTAATTAATAATTAAATATTAATTTGTTTACAATTTTTGCAAAAACTATAAGAAATATGGCTACTGCTAATATAACTATCTGTATGAAAGCAGAATCTGTACACGTAATATTTTTTATGTTTTACAAAATAATTAACAATTTTTGAAAGATTTATATTTCTATAAATAAATGTTTTTTTATTGCAGAAAGAATAAAATTCCACGAGATAATTAATACCGATTTATTTCTATGAGATAGAATTGTAACATGACATTACATATTTTTAATTTATTTTATCATAAAATTATTATCTATTTTTAAATATTATCACGACTTTATATTTTAGCTTCTATGAATTTATCTTTCTCTCTTATTATTGATACCAGCAAATCGTCTCTATATCATATCTAAACATTAAGTATATATAAAAGAATTAGAGTAACAAAGATCGCATTAGTAAAAATAACTCAAACGCGGTGGTTCATAGAATGAAATGGCAGAACGTTCGCGACTATTTTCCAATCGATTATCGATTTGGATCGTTTTTTCCCCGCTATCGGCAGCCGCGAATCGAGAGCCGCGAATTTCGCGCAGGCATAAAATTTCTCGCCTTAATAGATATCATGTCACCGCTTCATTAACGAAACTGGTTCGAACGCCGGGATTTCGCTTGATTAACAGAATACCTATTTACGGCCCTCTCTCAATCTCTCTCCCTCTGTCGTCGTCTCGTCTTTTCTTATCGAGCGTGCGAGCACGATCGCGCGAATCTCTCGAATCGGGGCGGCGCACTCGATCAGTCTCGTTATAGGTATGAGATCGACACTCGGGATCACTTATGGGCGTAACGCGGACGACCGAAGATGGAAAAATGGACGGCTGACGACGAGCCGGTCGTGAAACTATCCTCTTATTTGCACCTCCATGAACTTCGGGGCGCTCTCTTCGGCTTCGTTAAAATAGCCGATGGAGAAGCCCGAGGTGAAACTCTCGACGACCGGCTTCCGTTACCCCCGTCGTCGATTGAGAGAGTTCGTGAAAAAAAAGAAAAAGGAAGTGGAGGAAAGACGAGAAAAAGAGAAATAACGAGAAACGGGAATCCGGCGTTTTCCACGCCGGAGGTTCTCTGCTGCAAAATCGGCGATTTAATTAACGTTCAAAATTCACGCTAATACCGACATGAAATTTGCATCCGCTTGCAAAATGTCCGCAGGCCTTTAACGTCAATCCCGGTTATTTTTATATGTTAACGCAGACGCGATTAATGATACAATCAGTCGAGTCGCGTCGTCGAGAGAGATATGCACCATGAAATTTCGATTCGACGATAAATTAAAATTTTTACGAGGCAGACGTATCATGTTTATTCGGAAGAAAAACCTTCTCAGGAAGGACACGCCGGAATCATTCATTCCACCAGAAAAGATAGTGATTAAAGACCATAATTTTCATCACGTCTTGCACGTTCATAAAACGTCGAGCAAGTAGATGGGGAAAAATGTTGAGAATCCATACTGTCGAAGATCTTTCAATCGGAATACTGGAGCGACATAATGAAGAGTAACCACTGTTGACATCTCGGTGAAACTTTCAACGAGTTTCCACTCGGAGAAAAAAGAAGTCCGAGATACCGGGGATCTGTTTTCCACGCCTGCGGTTGTTCTCGGACGAGCGATTTATTCGTGCCAGGGGGGACAATATTAAAACGTCAAGGGGATTTCTCTTTCTTCATCGCCGGACGCTTATAATGTCCATGCGGGATGCCCCAGAAGGCGTCAGCGTTTTTGCGTTATAAGCGTTCAAGGATGAAGAGGTTCTGGCAAATTAAGACAACCTTGTTCTCAAGTCACTTTCAAATGAACTTCAACTGGATTTTAATTTTGAATATAGTTACCAAGATAATTAACGTCGAAATTGAAATGTTGTGAAAGAAGATTGCATCCAGGCGAAAAAAAAAAAGATATCGGACTTTGAGTCAGTTAATCAAAGGTAATACATGAATGAAAAAGTGACTGTATTGTTCGTGCGTTTCATATATTCTGATATACTCCGATGTATATACAGGTGCACTGTGTTCTCTTTTAAATGATGCAATATACACATCCAATACGTTACGGAGAATTCAGGTGGTTAATATAAAAATTTTTATTCTGAAAAATGTCGCAAAACATAAACACAAACTTTCTCTTTTTAACAGGTAACGTATCATCTATTTAAAAAAAAAAAATCAAGGATTTTTTTTAATTACCTTAAGAAAACTAGAATTTGTTATTTTCTTACGCTGTTTTATGAATATGCAAATCCTCGAATGTGAGACTTTCAACATTAGATTTATATTTTCTTATCGCTGTCATCGAAAATATGCTAAATATATTCGGCGAGGAGACAAGTTTATTTAATCCGCAACTACTCGTTTAACGCGATGCGCAACATGAGATCCAACAGTGATATAACAACATCAAGCGTTCCAAGTCTCGATTTGTGCTCAAGCAAATTATCGTCTCTCAAGTTTCACACATGTCTCTTATATTTCCTACACATTTTAATTAATATGACATAAACATAAAATACTCAAAGTTATAGATGACATCGTGCAAAACAATACTTTGCCGATCGAGGACCAGAACTACCCCCGAAAGAGAATATTACATAAACAACTACCCTCGACAACCCTTACAGCGTATCTAATCCTAGGAAATCCTCATTCGGCCTCTCCTTTTCTCTCTTTTTCTACCTCTCTCCCGGAACGTAACTGGTAGGGATAAAACACGATCGCGATACGTTAAATGTCCTCTACGCGCATCGGCAGAGTCACGCACGCACTCACGCGGGAGAACTAAGCGGGAGGCGTAAGAAAGAAGGAAAGAGAGACAACGCGCAGTGGAGAGAAAAAAAAACCAACATCGAGGGGGGATATCTAGAGAGTTAGGAGGACGAGGAGAAGGCGAGAAACGTGAACAGGAGAGAGAAAAAGAGGAACGTCTCTACGCTGGTCTACCTGGAAGCTACCAGTGGTCGTGGTCGTCGTCGTCGTCGTCTACGGGCGACACACGGGGGTAACCCGTACATTCGCGTGCGTCCGCAGCGCGGCAGCCAACACGCACACGACGCACACGCACATTCGACGAGGGAGCGCATTGCTATCACACTCTCGTATGGCGGCGATCGAGAGCACGCGGGCGCGAGAGAGAGAGAGAGAGGCGAGATAGAGAACCGCGTATGGAGTGGGGAAAGAGGCGGGTCTGCGGCGCGACACGCATACACGTGTACACACGCGCACGCACACGCAACACGCACGCGAGGCGTACATACGTACACGCGACACGCACACACGCGCGCCACCGCCCCGGGACCGCGCGGGCAAAGCTCACACTTACCTGACAAGATGTAAGTTCAGAAACTGGAAGGTGCCACTTCTGCACAGTCCAATACAAGACACCGAACCGGAAAGTTCGTCCGAAAATTAGTCGACGCGTACAACGGCACCACCGTTTGCGGCCACCGCAGCGGGACCAAGTGGGTTATCGGTTGCCCTGGTGGTTGTTCGATCGTGCGGGATCAAGAGGAAGAGAAGCGTAGGAAGGAAGAGGAAGAGGAAAGAGGACGGGCAAGCACGAGTCATCTCCGCTGGTGGAAGGTGGAGAAGCTGGAGGTGGAAGAGGAAGAAACGGAGGCGGAGGAGGAAGGAGGAGGAGGTGGGGGCGGAGGTGGAGAAGAAGGAGAGGACGAGGAAGGACGGAGAATGAGATGGAAGGCGAAGGCGGAGGCGCGATAACGAAATGACCGGAGATACGTGAAAACGTGTTGAGACACGGAGAGTGACGGTGTCGAGGTAGAGAAAAGTGCGGACACGAGTCAACGTGAAGCGGAAGAAGTTGGTAAAGAGGAAGAGAAGGGACAAGGATTTCTTTTTCTTTTTTTATCACTCGTAAAATCACAAGTGCGCGAAAATTAATTTTTTTCCCCGTGTGACAATTTTGCGAATTGAAAAAAATAATCGAGCCGCGAGTCTCCATCGCGAGTGATTTCAACGTGCGCGGTGCGTTTGTCGCGGTACATTTCATCATTTTCCTATTTTTCTATTTCGTCTCATCGATTGCGAGCGAAATTGTACGCGAACGCGATCTCGTTCAGATTTATGATGGTGTTTTGCGCGGCGCCGCCGTCGTCGATCACGACGACGACGACGACGACGAAGAAGAAGACGACGAAGATGACGGCGACGAGGGCGATCATCGAGAGGCATCGTATACGTATTGGATGATTATCATATTAATGAATACGCGCCACGACTCGACGAGCCAGTCCGCGGAAAATCACCGACGAGGAGGAGCTTCGAGTCCACTCGCGAGCTCAAAAAATCCATCGCCGGTCATCTTGCCGATCCTACGTGAGAGACTTTTCGATTGTGCGAATGCCACGTGAAACACGACTGTGATCCGAAAACGATTAAAAAAGAGAGAAAGAAAAGTGAGGGAGGGTAAAAGAGAACACGCGGGTGAACGAAAAACCTTTACGGAGTGCTCCTTTACCTGAAAGAAACAGGAAAGTGGTGTGAGTGCGCGTATCCGAGATCTGTTTTTTTTTTTTCTTTCCGGAGTTCTATCAGACTCGTGCTATCACCGCATATCTCGGGGGTATCGTCCACTTGGATATCCAGCGGGATACATCTCACGATCTCCCTGCCTGCGGCCGGACGTGTCACTTGGACCCGTTGACAGCACTCGCCCGATAAAGCGCACCCGTGAGTCTTCGCCTTCGATTGAATTGGGATTTCGATGGGCGCGCGCGCGTAGGCGCACCGGATTTGTCTCTCTCTCGCTCTCTCTCTCTCTCTCTTTCTCTCGATAGGACCGCGCCGGTATATCGGTATCGGGAATAAATTAACAGCTCGCACGAACGAGGGTCTGGAGGAGGGATCGAGAAACCGGTACAATTTCGGTGAGTTTATATATAGATCCCGGGATATACTGTAGACACGCGAAAATAATCGCTGCCGCGTATCTGCGACGACGGCAACGCGTCGATTGAATTAATTCTTACGTCAGAAACAAAAACGCGATAAGTGATATGCTCTTCAGTCGAGAATCAAATAATTGTTACGAACCGTTAAGAGTGATGACTTATTTAATGAGATGAAATCATTTGCATTTCTCTCAATTACTCTGACTCACCGTAAGTTGTTCTTCCATATATATAAAAATGGATATCGAACCCTCTCTCTCTCTCTCTCTCTCTCTCTGTGTCTCTCATACCGGTGTTATACTTTCAACGCCTAAGACTCGACGTCTGGTGATTTCAACGCGAGTAGGAGGTGTGCGTTTCAATCGGCCTTGAGGCTCGCATATATTCTTTTCGGACGGCGCTATCAGGACAGCATTCCTTTCGATGTTTTGCGATATGGTCTATATAACGTACGATTGATAATTGATTATTCACGGGAAATGCCCAGCAAATTCGCTAGTAAATTTTGATAAGTTGATAATAACATTCAGAGAGAGAGAGTGTTGATATTTATAAAATGTCGATTTCACTTCAGCATTCAACAAACATTCCAGCGATAAACTTATTTATCAATTTCTTAATTATATAGAAACTACTTAAGAGAATATACTGTCTAATAATTGTATAAAATATTTTATTATGATTGGAACGAATTTGGCTTCACTAAAAAGAATAGGAAGCTTTGATGAAAATATCGTTAAAATCATATTGAAATTATTGTAATACGCAATTGAATCATTAGACTTTGCTATATTAAATTTTAATTTAAACAGCTTTGGGGACATACATCATAAATCAGTTTTAATCGAAATTGATGTTTCGATAAGATTTTCATCATACAACATCTTTCATCACAGAGCATCTGACAGATATGCAAATCGTATTCTTACACGTGGACTGACTATTAATGATAATTCTGTGTCATCTTTAACCTTGCAATGCGAAACATCGTTCAGATGATTATTTTCTTCAAACAAATCCTGCAATATCGAAGTCAGTGTTTCCCAGGAAAAGTTTTCCATAGATATTCTTTTATTGCCGACTATCTGGAATGTAGCTGTGCCTAGCAATATTGTCGTGTCCTTAATTTTCTCGTTACATGATCAGCGGTTTTTTTTTTCATAAATGTATAATCGTCTTAAAACGAGTAGTTATCAAGCCATTAAGCAAACAGATCGGCGTGTAACGAGGAACGGTACGTTTCCCAACGACAGTTGATAATGTTCAATTATTAATACTGCATTCTCTTCGGTATGTCTACATCGCTGTCAGTCTTCTGTGTTCCTCATCGCAATAACGCAGCGTGAGACGTGTTGCATAAAAAACGCAACGTAAATGAACGAACGAAGGAGGAAACATCGATGAAAGGATTAAAACGCCGTTTTACGTCATCAGATAGACGAGATAGAGTATCTGCGATTTTATTGGCGCCTCTCCATCGTGGCCCTTTATTTCGCGCGTATCATATTTCTCGATGTTTGACAACTGCTCGTCGACACTACGCGATTTTGTTCTGCGAGGATGACCCTATCTTTTAATAATGCTTATGCGAAAACGTTCAGACCGACTGGCCAAAACGTCGGAATGGGGTCCGAATTTCCCATGGACTGCGCGCCTAATTATACGTCCATGGGACACTCGTTCCATTATGGCAACGGGCATTGCTAGTTACCCCTTTTATGCTAAGTGAGAGCGAGCCAATGGATGACCCTTTGAAACAGGGTGACCATCCGCTCTCGGACGGCCGCTCCCGAACACACCGGACACTTCCCGCAACCATTCTCGTACCCACAAAGCTTCCTTCGCGCCTCTCACATAGGGTGACCCTCGAAATCTCGCGTTGAGCAACACGTCGGGCTTTACGGTCGGCTTTGCCGCGCTCTTGGTCGACGATTGTATCATAGAAGAAGTGCAATATATCATTTAACACGCCATTTTATTCATATCATTCGAGATCAGCATTTTTATTATGACTATTACGAATATAATTATTGTAATATCGATGATAATACTATCATTATACCTGTTACTTCATCGTCATAATATTCGTAAAAAGACGAAATAATAACGTGTTACCAATTCAAATAAGATTGTTCTTATATTAGTTGTAATTAAATGGAATAATACTGCCGATCTCTCGAATCCGTATGAATAAAATGGCGTATTAAATGATATATTACACTTCTGCCGATACGCCGATACCGTCTCATGCATATGAAATCGCATGATATTTGATTTTGCGTTTCTTAATGATGTCTACTTTGCTCGCGAAATACGTGTTATTGGTATTATCTGCTCGCATTATCGGCTTTATCTAGTCGTCGCAATGCAAATGTGTAATAATCGAGACGTTGGAATCAATAATGCATCGCAATAGGGAAAATCATGTTTTAGATTATTAATGTGCGATATCCGCTCGCGCGACGTTCGGAAAAACGTAAAAAAGAAAAAAAAACTTGGGTATATACGCGGCGCGGGCGCGGTTCGCTGGAGTCTCAGATTTCATAATTGGCAACCTGCCACACGCCGTACATCGATATAGAGGTACGAGAGTACCGATCCAATTTTCTAAGGCTCGAGCGCCGCGCCGGCCTCTCGCAAGGCCGGCGAACACCGGCGTTGCGAGACCCCGAAAGCCGGGCAGGTCAGTCATGCGGGAAAGTTTAATGACTACTAATGGGGCACCCTGTATGCAGGTAAACGCACAAGGTTCCGCAAGTCGGTGAGCGTCCGTTGAAGCCTCGAGCGATCAACGACGGTAATTCGTGATTCCACTGCGGCGACACGCACGCGGAGATACGACGTATACTTTGCGAGAAAAAAATCAGGGAAAAACACAATGAGGAGACGGCGAGATATCGGTGAATCGATATATTACCTACAAGTGCTTCTCGAAGCTATCTTACCGCGGCTATTTATCGGTTACGCTAGAAAGACGTTACGTCGCGCGAGTTCTCCTAATAAAGTTGTAAAATTATCCCGAGTTTAACTACTTCTAACATGGGATGACGTAATAGTTATTATAATGCGCAAGATAACTGATCAGCATTAGTGTCGCTAGCTTATAGATATGATATCTAAATGATGTATAAGCGTAGAGAAGGGAGAGAGAGAGAGGGAGGGAGGGTGAACGAGTCAACCCTGTCCTTCGTTGCGACAATTCGATCGATCGCTTTGATAATCGTTAAGTTCCGTGCCGTGAGACACGCGGCAATCTACGTTGATTATTGCGCCGGCCACTGTCAGTGTCCATCGACGGCGACATGGCGCGCAAATGACACCTGGGATTGGACACGCGTACGCCTTATCGCGCGATCAGATCCGTATTTTGTGAAAGCGGTCGCACGAGGGAGAAAAAAGATTCATAATTAGCGCCTGGCGCGCGTGGATAAGCGTCGCGGCGAGGCCACCGTCGGGTATCGTGTCGTTTATCGTGGATAAGAGTGATAAATAATCGGTCGTGACGTTTGCTCTGTAGCGTGTTAATTTACCGTTCCCGGCGACGGGGATTCGAGGCGAGAAAGAAATCCGGCGCCACGACTGTTCGCGAGAGAGTACCGTAAAGCACGAACGTCGAGTGTCTAAAGAGAAGCCGTATTTCACGCCGTAATTAGTACTAAGCGAGAAGATGGACGTAATTAAAAACAGTCGCGACGCTTCAAGCAGATTTAAAGAGTAAATTCAGCCCAGGCCGATCGTTGTTGGGTGCAGCCATAAATAACTTCTATCGCGGCAACAAATGTTTTTCGAAAAATACCAAATGGATTACCT